ATAGCGCAGAATTTTTTTGAGGACAAGCCTTTTCCTTACGTGTTATTTTCTGAATGTGTTGTCGTGTTCTGAAAACGTCTTCACAGGTGGTTACATTTGTTCATGTGTTAATGATTGGAAGTATTCTGTGTGTGTTGTTCCTGATACCTCATAAAGGCAACTGGAAACTGTCTTATTGGAGTTTTTTGTGGGCGGGACTTTTACATGCAAATGACAGCAGGAAACTCACGGTGTGTGTTTAATGTTAATAGTATGCTGTTGGCCGAGGCCTCCATTTACACACACATACTGTTTTCTTTCATCGAGTAAACTGAAATCAATCATTATACACTTGAATCTGCATTGTATGTTTGTGAACAAATTAAGTGAGGGTGATTTTCTTTCTTTATTTGTAATCATAACTATTGTTAAAATGTAATTCCTGTCCAATTGAAACAAGACCGTAAAATGAATTGTCTTGTCAGATATATTTATAGTTGTCCATTCAGATATCTGTTACCAGAGAAACCTGTGTTCAGATGTACTTTGTATATACAATAGTGTACATTTACAGAGGTACATTCTTTTTCTTCATAATTTGTTTGTGGTTTTCTTTTTCTTTTTGGTACAATATTGTACAGTTACCACTGTAGTTGCCACTCAAATATACATTCTATAATTCCACGTGTAGTTCTTGTAGTAAACATTTTTAAATAAAAAAAATTGCTTGCTGAATGTGTATTTGATTATTTGCAATAAAAATGTGCAAAAAATTGAAAATGATCTTTTTCCCAATTTTGCCAGTCACTTTTTCATTTTAAATAAAACATGCTTGCTAAACATCTTTTTGATTGTTTGAATAAAAAGGTGTAAATTGTGAAAAAAAATCCTACTTTTATTTTTTATTTTTGTAAACACTTATTTTGAATTTTTATTTTTGCCAATGTTTTGATTTTTTTTGGTTTACATATATAACTGGGCATGGATCTCTTGTTACAGTGGCTAGCATTAAGCAATTTTACCAGCCTGATCTCACTCCAGAAGACGTTAAAAAAATCAAACATAAAATCAAATATAAAACGATTTTACATCAAGGTATAGACGTTTAACTCTACGATACATTGTATCGCTTTGAAGCGCAGCGGAGTGAAGTAAAGATCGGCGCCTATACCTTGTGTCTGTTGCCTGCATGTGGGAAAGCATGGCTGGTCGTAAGGATGAAGAGAAAGACTGGACAGTACATCACACATGAACAGGTGTGTGAATTGATGGAGCAACAGAAAGCCTTCTATAAAGAACTGTTGCAACAACAAGATAATATGAGTCTTAAGCAATCAATATTTCCACAGGCCTGGAAGGAAGCTAAAATTATGCATTTGACTAAAGACAAAAAAATACAATTTAGTGGCTCCGATAGCCGCCCGGTGAGTGTGTTACCAGTGTTAAGTAAGATCCTAGAGAAGGCAGTATTTGATCAAATTACAAGATTATTATGTATCACAGAATAATCTGTTATCAAATTATCAGCATGCTTTTAGAAAAGGACAGCTTTAGACACAGCTTTAGCACAAATGACGTGATGATTGGTATCGAGGGTTGTATAAAAAAAAGGATATGTGGAGCAGTCTTATTAGATTTTACAGCTGCATTTGACCTTACTGATCATAAGCTTCTTTTGGAAAAATTGGATTTATATATTTAGACCACCAGTAATTGTTTGGATGGAGAGTTATTTGGATAATAGATCACAGAGTTTTTTTTTTATTAATGGAAGTTATTTGGATAGAAGGGGAATTGAATGTGGAGTTCCACAAGGGAGCTGTTTAGGACCACTTTTGTATTCCATTTTTACAAATGATTTATATCTGGTATTAAGAAGTGCTAAATTAACAATGTATGCAGACGATACAACAGTTTATGCATCTGCACAAACGTCGGTTGAATTGACGGCTATTTTGAATAGAATGGAGTTGGAGAGTATAGAAAAGTGGATTTTAGAAAACAAGTTGATACTAAATACATCTAAAACAAAGAGTAGAGTATTTGGGTCAAATTTTTCTCTACGGTCCAAACCGGAACTGAAATTATATATAAATAAAACACTTATTCAGCAAGTTAAGGAAGCAAAACTATTGGGTATCACCCTGGACAATAAATTGTCATGGTCAAAGCATATTGAGAACACAGTTGAAGAGAATGGGAAGGGTGGTAGCTGTAGTAAGGAGATGTAGACAATATTTTACGTTTGATATAATGAAAATAATATTAGATTAGAATATCAGATTAATCCTCCAGTGTCGGTATGGATATGAATTGTATGCACTTTGATCTTAAATGGCTAAGAGTGGAAGATAGGATGATTGCTGCAACACTGTTATCAACATGGAAGGTTTTACATTTTAAAACTCCATTGGATGAGTATAATCAATTACAATCTAACATTCAGTCACATGAATATGCCACTAGACGAGCAACAGAGGGTAGATTTCTACTCCCTAAGAAAACGAATTTTCTTAAACGTACAGTAACATTTAGGGCAATGAAATCATGGAATCTTTTACCATTGTCATTAATTAGGATAACACAAAAATTTTATTTTAAAAGGCAGGTAAAAGCACACCTTGGAATTCTGTACTTATAGTAGTTTGAGATATAGGAATTAATTGAATGAGCAATACGTTTTTTATATAGTAGGTGTTATAGATATTAAAAAGGGTGGAAGAAATGTTTATAGAGATGCTTTGGAATGTGGAGAATGTATTTAACTTTTTATTTTCTTAATTTTTTAATGTATGTAATAATGTATGAATGTTAAGTGTGGTGTGGACCCCAAGAAGACTAGTAATGCTTTAGGGCATAGCTAATGAGGATCCAAATAAATAAATAAACAAATAATTGATCCTTAGCAGAAAATATGGGCATCTTTTCATCTTTTTTTCTAAAGAAATCCAGGAAAGCTTTGTAAAGAATTTACTAAAATATGCAAATCTAGGTAAAAGTTATTTCCTTGTGTCTTACGTTACGCTTTTGAACAGACGTCAGGCAAAAATGCTTTTTTTTTTAGCCTATGCTTGCCCTTCTGCATTATTTAGCTATTTTAAATTCCGTCCACGAGAGGGCGACATCCATTTTTGGTTTATTGTCACTTTTAATATGGTGGACTAAAATGGTTAGTGGTTTGCATATAAATTACGTAAAATGGCCCACAACATAATATTTTAACTCATGTTGTTTTCTATCTAACTTTCAGATTAAAACATATGTTAAGAGAAAAATACACCAGTACCCTTAACACAAACGCGATGCACCGAACAAGGAAGTTCCTGACAGAAATGAAAGTTGCTGGTGACACTGGTTTCCGTCGAGCTGCTCTCATAACTTATACAGGACTGCAGGTGTAATTAGTCCACAGAAAAAAACACACAGGGATTGACAAATTCGGATAAAAGTGGAAAATGCGCAGTCATCAAACACACAAATGGTTGGTTGGTTTGTTTTTGTGGTTTCGTGTGTTGTCAGTCAGAGTGATGACGATACCGATGATTGTTTATGATGATATGAAGGGGAAATCCTCATAGTAACTAACGTTAGACTGTCGGCAGTTCACACAACGTCTTTCCATAAAAATTATAGCTTATCTTTGGAGAAATATGATGATGTTTAAATATATTCCGTGTTTGCAGGTCATATAGAAAGGAAATGGATTTTATTTGACGCCTCTGTTGTGACGTGAGTGACTTTAGAGGCGTATTGTGTTCAGAAACAAACCGGTGAGTCACTTTTGCTTAATTCAACAATGGTTGGATGTGAAAAATACGTACCTTGATTCTGTTTACCTTATTTTTAGAACTAAAAATAAAGCACTTAAATCTTAATTTCATTCAATTTGACATACTGTTTGAAGGTAATAACCAGGAGTTCATTGGCAACATGATTAACATATTACATGAACTCAGGTATCAACTCAGGAGGATGATATGACATTAGAGATAGACAAAAAGTTCAGTCTAGCATACAGTAGGCATGAATATACAGTGTGTGTGTGTGTGTGTGTGTGTGTGTGTGTATGTATGTATATGTATAATTATTCTGTGAAAAAGGACAGGTAATCCTGAACGAAATTTAGCATTAAATATTTACTAGAGAAGCTTTGATTGTTTTTCTGTCATACTCAGATCCGATCATGTCATCCGCTTGTGTCAACACAATGACCATAAGTACAGCAAACCACCTTTGGTCGCTGGATGATGTTCTTGGTCAAGGGGCCACAGCAAGCGTCTACAAAGCACGAAACAAAGTACTTTATCATTATTACAGTTTTCCCAATTTTCATTACTTAAACAGGTCATAGACAGGTCATACTTTGCTAAATGACACTTTATATTGGTGTAGAAAACAGGTGAGCTGGTTGCCGTGAAGGTCTTTAACTTGGTGAGCTACAACAGGCCGTACGAAGTTCAGTTGAGGGAGTTTGAGGTGCTGCAGAAACTCAATCACGTCAACATTGTTAAACTCTTTGCTGTGGAGGAGGTACGTTTCTGATGTGGTTTGTGACGCTGTTCAAGATTTTCCAGCCACAGTACTGCTGATTTTTCAGATGGTACTTTGATGTTTGAGTTTCTCATGATGCATTATGTCAGGGATATTTTTGGCCAACTATTGGTCACACTTTATTTTAAGGTCCAATTCTCGCCATTAACAAACCATTAACTACAACTTTTGCCTCAGTAAACTCCTAATTTCTGCTTATTAATAGTAAGGTAGTTGTTAACTTTAGGTATTGGTTAGGATTGGGGATGTAGAATATGGTCATGCAGAATATGTGCTTTATAAGTACTAATAAACAGCTAATATGTTAATAATAGGCATGCTAATAATCAACTGGTTAATAGCGAGAACTGGTCTCTATACTAAAGTGTTACCCAATTTGATAATTATTAAACTTTAGTA